CTCAGATCTGGGACCAGCGGCTCAGGATGCAGTCGGGTCATTGGCGCGGACCTGACAGCAGAATCAACCTGATTGTACGGATTCGTGGGAAGTTGCTTTGTTTCATTTTTTCACGAAAGTCAATACTCTTCCTTCAGCTTAAGTGTGAATAATACCAGTATGTCCACCGAACCAGCATTCCCCGACCGCTCGCGCCGCCAAGTGTGTTGGGCGGCTCGCGACCGCTTCTTTGCCTGCATCGACCGCGCCTACAGCCCCGACGCACCCACCGCCGACCCCGACAACAAGTGCGCACTGCCCATGGCCGAGTTTGTCTCTGCTTGTCCACCGTCCTGGGTCCGTATTTTCCATTTTCTTTCTTTGATTTAATTCGTAACTGACATAAAAAATGTAAAAAGGCAAAACACTTTGCGTCCAAGCGCGAGGCTTATATCCGCGAACGAAAGCTCGGCCTGCGTCCAGTCGCGTCGCCGAACTTTGGTTAAAAAAATACAATTTATAAATATATATTCGTAGTAGTTCCTGTCACTCGCTCAATGAACAAAAAGCAAAGATCCCGGCGAGATTCGAACTCGCGTTATTGGATTCAAAGTCCAAGGTGATAACCACTACACTACGGGATCACGGACGATCTAGTGCAATAGTAGACTTGTTACAAAGACGCTGGTGGACGACAAGGTTGCTGCGGCCGCGTCCAGGAAATGATCGAACCAGTCGCCAATGTCCAGCAGCATGTAGTGCTTGAACGACATCAGCCGTGGGATCAGCGCGTGGTGGCCGCGCACCAGGACTGATAAAAGCTGCCGGTTGGCGTGACGGTAGGCCAGGTGGATTTCGGCCAGGAACACGCCGGACCCGTCCACGGCCCGTGCCACGTCGGTGACCACGGCCGCGGGGGGTAACCGGCTACTCCCGGCGTCCACGTCCATCAAGGTTTCGTCGTCCTCAACGCCGCCGCACTCGGCCACCACGTATTCCAAGGTGGTCTCATGTGTGACTTGCAACTCCACTGAGAACCACGACTCCCTTGCCCCACCACGATGCACCACCACCGCCGGTACGGCGAGCACGCTTCGGTACGCGCATGGGTGAATGGACACAGCGCCAATGCAGAAAAATAATCTGCTTTCGTTATCCCTTCAAAAATTCACGGCTCAGCGTGACCACAGCTGGCGCGGGCAATCTTTCATATTCGGTGTATTAAATTGCGGTTGAATTGGTGAGGGGGACCAAGAAAAGGCGTGTCCGCAGGAGCTTGGATAAATTACGATGTTGCTGACCAGAGGTTGGGGGATATTTGTCCAATGTTCGCACGTGCGTCACACCAGCTTTTCATCAAAGCAGCGAATCAAAGCAGCGAAACGCCACCCGCCTACGCCGCCCGCATGACTGCAGTGTTGCGCCCACGCGTATTTGGTAACGTTTTTCATCGAATCGACTCGAAGCGCCGTCGCCGACGAAAGCACAGCACTGCACAAGGGCAGCTTACAAACCGTCCAGTTCTCTCGCTTCTCGTTAGTTTTCGACGTTCTTCTCACTCTTTCGGCCTCTCAATTCCTTCAAAATCAAATCAAAAAAATGCCCACCATCAAACCGACCCCCACCACCGAAAAGGCCGTTGCCATTCAGGTGTCGGACATGCACATCGCCGGTGAGCTTATTGCGCTCGACATCGGCAAGCAGCTGCCGTCGCCGTCGACCAATGCTGCAACTTGCATTCTCATTATTGGGCATTCGATCAACGACCGGGAGGCTGTCATTGCGAAATTGACTAAACATAAGGTACTCATATTCATGAATATATATCCTATCCAAATCTTAATTCCCCCATCCAACAACAGTTGGCGTTTCAAGAGGGTTTTGGCTCTGTGGGCAAGAACGCCATTGTCGTTGTTGGTGTACAGCAGTTGCACAAAAATTTGCACAAGATTTCCATCAATCCCAAGCAATTGACCACGGTTTACATCCTCGAAGTACGTATTTCTTTTGAAGTTGGACGGCCCTGATGTGATACTAATGTCGAGTATTTGACCAATGACAGCCGACTGTTGTAGTCACCAAGACGTTTAAGAAAATCTGGGTCAAGTTCGAGCGCAAGGGTGCTGGCGCCCACTTTGGCGTCATCGGCTACGGAATTACGCTGGAACGCCACGACAAAAAGCCAATCGTGCCTTTCTTTGACGAACGTATGTATTCCTCCTCTTCCTTTCCATGAGTGACACGGCTCACTGATACATCAATCACTTCCAGTGTGCTACCATTCTGGCCTGCAGGAGGGCATTGAGGCGCGCTCGCTTCGACGACTGGACCGCAGTTTTGTCACGGTCGACAAGGAGGACGCCCAACTGGACACAATGCTCAAAATCGTCAACAAGCTGGTGTATTGTCGCAAGCGTATCGTGGTCAGCCTCAATTCCAACGCTGAAGCCGACAGGATGGTCGCCATGATCAACCTCTGCTGGACCGCGCCTGTCGCTGCCAAGTGGACCGTCCGCACGGAATGCTCGCAGAAGGACAAGGCCGTCCGCGACTTCAACATGGGCAATATCTCGGTCCTGATCAAGATTTTCTCAACCAAGGATATTGGTCTTGAACAAGTTGACGCGCTTGGTACGAATTTTTTGAACTATGTTGGGATGTCCCAAAACTCACAGTTGACCCAACCTTCAGTCCTTTCGCACAAGACGAAATCGCACCCGCGCTTCCTCAAGATCGTGCAGAGTCTCATGCTCATCGGCCATGCCAGCACCCCTCTCTCGGTCTTCGAGGTCGGCACGGGGTCGGATAAGATGATGTACCAGAATATCAGCGAGATCCTCGCGAGCCAGGCCAAGGACGCGAAGGCCATGTAAATAGCCATTCAAGATATAAGAAGATGACCAGATAGAGTAAGGATTATTAATAAGTTAAATAGTTTGATAGGGAATAATGAATTGGTTTGGCTTTCACATATTTCGTTGCGCACTTGCTCCAGAGCAAGATCGTCGTCTCTCCCAATATTCCGCGATCTGAATGTGATGATTCTTTTTGGATCACGGATCTGCGCTGTTTGCTCGCGCCTACAGAATGGTAGAGTGGTTGCCAACGTTGCGCCGACTGTTGGAAGACGTCCCGATCCGAGCAACTGCGCTGCGCGTGCTCAGCTCATGGTACGAATGCGGCTCGGCTTGACAGTTGGGTGACATCTGTCGGATCCTCTTCATTGCGCATTCGTGCAGCCGCCATGACGTTCCTCATTTTGTACTGCGTGATCCTCATTACCAGGGACTGAGCGCTCGATATTCTGGTGCAGGAACGCTGGACTCCACATTCTTGCGCTCACATTAAATGTATTCGGCTCTTCCCTGCTCTGATCTATTCCGCACGGCTTTTATGCGACACACAACCAGCGGTTTTTGTCTTCTGCTGCTGTCCGCATATCAAACCAAACCTTCCGTTTTCAGTCACCTGCTACACGTGCCTCCCCAACCTTTTCCCTTGCAGAATCTGCCCCTCTCCTCCTTACCGCCCCCCCTTCGCTGAACAGAAGCGCGTGCACACTGACGGTGCCCAGAAAACCCAAGAGCAACGGTTGCTTTCGGGCGCGTCCGGTGACGTTATTTTGACGCATGGATCCATATTCTTTCTTTCTGAAAATCCTCCGTGATCATTCCGGTGCAATGATCAAACAAAATAATACTTTAATATGGGGAAAACACCACCGTCAAGCTCGCGCCGCTGGCACTGCGCAAGAAGTGCGATGAGAACGTACGCAAGCTCGCCGACGCGGAGAAGGCGATCAAGGCGGAGGCGAAACTCACGCGCCGCGTGTCGACCTTGTCCGACGGCCGCTTGCATCCCAACATTGTGCCAGTCTTTGGCACTTTTGGAGGGAAGGCGATGGGTCCGTATATACTTTTTTTTTTCATATGTGTCGGATCACCACCAAAACTAGCTGCACCTGTTGATCCTTGTAACTCCAGTCATGTTGCGGGCTGTGCACGGATCAGTGCAGACCGTTCAGGCGCGTACTCAATTCCCTCCTTGTTGCCACATTCAATCACGCATACGTTACTGAATCGACAAATACCTGTATTAGGTCCGCACGCGCATGCTGCACATGGACATCAAGCGTATGTATTT